TTTTGCAGAGTAGTATCGAAAGTCGCTCGGATAAATAAAAACTCGGTACATTCGTCCCTAATTTAAAAAAAAATTGTTAATAAAGTTTAATGAAATAGCAAAAATATATGAAAAAACTTTTGGTCAATGACTTTCCGGACACCCTGTATATTCTCATGTAAGAGCAAAAAAAATATTCAACTCTGAAGAAGAACGTATTGCGTTCGAAATGTCAGTTTAAATAAATATTGTTATATACTGATATATATATATATATACATATATATCCCTTGGGTGTGGGTGTGGATGTGAGTGGGTGTTGGTGGTGTGTGGGTGTGGATGTGAGTGGGTGTTGGTGGTGTGTGGGTGTGGGTGTGGGTGTCGTTGCTAGCGAGAAGCATATCAACACCCACACTCACACCCACACACACACACCCGCACCCCACACACACCCACATCTACACCCACACACCCGCCCCCCATACACACCCACATCTACACCCACACACCCGCACCCCACACACACTCACATCCACACACACACCCACACCCCAAGTAAATGATTCATTGTAATTTTATTGATACTATTATGATGTTAGTCAGGCAATGTTTGCTGAAAAGATTTCTGATTAATTCTTTATAAAAGCACGTTCTTGTGAATTTACTTCAAATTCGTTGTACAGAAAAAACAACAATGAAAACTTTCAGAAAACTGTCAATGTGCACAATTTCGAAGAATAAATTTGTTAGAGTGTGACATTTAAGATCACATACCAATTACTTCTGTTGTTCCATCGTCTGGATCAACATTGCTACCGATAATAAGCGATCTTTGATACGCGGAAAGCTTGAGTGGCTGCTTCATACCGGATGATGGTCCGCCTGCATAAATTTGATATATATGTTTTTGGATTCGTGCAAGTCTTACTTACTGGCAATATTGAGTTCGGCAGCCCAGTGTGAACATGTTATTCTATTTCTGACAAATTCTTCTCTAGCCCTTCGAAATTCTTCAAGTTTATCGTGAGGGACCATTGATGTTGGACTCATAGACACATAAGCAACAATACGCAATAATCGAGGAGATTTGTCTTGATGTAAACTTGCTATTTTCTCTATTTTATCGTTGGTGTCGAGAGCTGGTGTGTTGCAGTGAATACATCGAGAATCAAATACAACAAGATCACCTGCTTTACATTTGACTAGACGCGGCGGCAATTGTTTAATCAATGGATTGCCTTGACTAACACGCACGAGATTGACTTTCCCATCGTTGTTCCAAGCTATTGAGCGAAGTTCATCGAAATGTTTGTGGGATTCAGGGACAATAACAAGACCACCACTATATTCGTTGTTGTCTGTTAATGATACAAAACCTTGAATCGAACAACGATCAGGCTTCTCAAGTGGATTCTATCAACAGATTAAATTATTTGAAAAAAATAATTCGAAGGAAAAGCTAACCTGATCACAATGATACCATCCACTTATTGTCTTCCATGTTGGATTTAAATTCCAATCACGAAAACAACCAACAGCATCGAATGAAACAAGTAATTCATTTGTTTGCCAAATTTGAGCAAAGATCTTTTTTACATTTGGATTTCCTCGTACTGACCATGTAAACTGTGATTGACCTATACCTTCGTTTTTTATTATTCCAACGTGATGGAAACCAGGCCATGCAATATCCCATGTTTGTGCATCATTTCGTTTAATTTGATATGGTGATGGTAAATTTTCCAAATGTTTCCAGAATAAATCGATATTATTTGTGATTTCTTCAGGTGTCAGTACATTAGAAAACACTGCATAGCCTCTTTCATTCAAATGTTCAATGCCTTTTTGGATCTCTTCCATATCTTGAACAGAAAACCGGGAAGAATCACTTTGGTAATCAATAAAGACAGTCGGATCCGATCCGCCTTTTTGTGTCGATGATGTTTCTGACGAAGAAACGTATTGATTCATCAGTCAATAAACAACTATGTTTCGGGGAAAGAATAGTCTAATATCAGTCTTATGCAATTGTGTGATAGAACAAAAAAAAGATTCGTTCTCATATGTAGAAATGTTCCATTTTATGAAGATTATTCTCTAAGAACGCGAAAGTAGAGAAGCATATCAATATTTTATATTTTGTCGTTTATTATCTTATTTTCTTAGATAACGTTGACATTGTCAACATACATCACAGTAATAGATGCTTCTGTTACAACTGATAGAACAATACAAGCAAGCATTGTAATATCTAGATGAATAAATATTCTTATCAGAGCCCCAAACAAGTCATTAAACCTGCCTGCTTGTCACAAGCATAGGCCACGCTTTTCAGGCCTGGCCTATCTAATGTCTTTTCAATATGTGACTTTTATTGGATGAATTGAATTTATTTATAGAAAACAGATCTATTTGAAGTAATTTTCAAGGATAAAATTTAAATATGATGAATTAGATAAATACTTGAGCATAAATATTGGAGACAAATATAAATAAACAAATCCACTACTAAGATTAAAAGCTTATCAAGACAGAGGAGGAGCTCAATAAGTGATTAAACCTTCCCCATAAAAACATTTGTTTGTGTTTTTATGCCAAACTGTTATACAAGCGTTCCAAAAATGATTACTGGTAGAATTATTTGTTACATCTGTTTATACTGTACTCAGATCATTTGAAATAGTCAATATATATTTGACATTGTACCATTGATGATAATTAAGTCTATTTAATGACCATTGATATAGTAGTTGATCACGCTGGTGTTCATATAGTTTTATAGAGACTTTTAAGCGCTCCAAAATGTTAAAAAGCATCGAATAAAAACCGCTGATTACTCAAAAATACAAAAGTGACACTGTTTTCATACATAATTCTGAATATTTGTATTGATATTTTGTATGCTTCGATCAGAAGAAGTACAGGTTGGATAAAAGTGGCAATCATCTGGTAAATAATTACTTAACACCGATTAAGTTTATGTGAATTTTAAATCTTCTCGTAGACTTTTTTCGTCGAAGAAAATACCATTAATCTCCGTCAAAATCGAGTGAAAAAATGAATATAGTTAAAATGGTGTTTTGATGACGTAGTCATATGATATTGTGTGTTCTTGTATCGTTATGCAGTACTAGGGCTTTTTCAGACTAGTGAAACTACTTCTCGATGTAATTCCTTTTTTTGACGTAATTCTGAGGAGAACTAGAGTGATCTCTAGACGAAAACAGTCGCTGAACAGATTTAAAATTCACATAAATTTACTTAGTACTAAATATTGACTTGGAAGATTATTTTAGTCTTTATCTAAAATGTGTTTGAACAAAAACCAGATTGTTTTTGTCTATTTTAATGGCTTGCTATTTCTTTATTGTTCGAGATACCAATACTTTTCAATTCATATTCAATGTAGAATACAACCTTATGTGAAGTTTTCTGAAACTTTCAAAACACTTGGAAACTGATCTAGAATCACAGAAATATCGAATGATCTAAAAATTCTTTAACTGAAGTGTTAAATATTCATTTTGTTTTTAATTCTTCATATCTAATCATCAGCTCCTTTTTCGCTGCAAAAATGTCTTTTTATGTTCTCTTCTATCCATTTATTTTAAAACAACAAGAGTAGAAATCACTATCTCATTTCAATGGAAAGAATATAAAGAAGATTGAAGAGTGTATATCCAATCGTACTTCTTCTACGAGTACCAATAGTGCAAGTGTCAAGTTTTCAAAAGCCTTACACGCTGTCATAAAACATTTTAATAACAAAGATATTGAGAAGAATATTTTTAATCAAAGGAAACTTTTAGCTGAGTATATTTGAAATACTATAGCTTTTAGTAATTCATCAGTGACAGATAATGATGAAGACATAAAAAATAATTCATGTGACTTCCAAACTATTTCGAACTTCTGAAATCTTTTGAATGAAATCTTTAAACTCATCTCTTGCAATAATATGATGGAGTCTTACTTCTCTTTTGAAACCTTTGTAATCAGTTAAAATCTTGGTGTATAAAGATTCGAGTGAGGCTGTTTCCCGTTTGTTCATGAAAGGTACGAAGAAGATCAGTTGCCAACAAATATTCGAACAGATCAAGATCTCGTTGACCAACGATTCTAAATACATTACAGTTGATGTTAGAAAGGTACTTACCGACGAAAATCTAGGCGATACAAAAATCAAGGTCGATGGAATGAATTGACTAATTGACGATTTAACAGTAATCCGCATTTTCCTATTGTCTTTCACTGTAGCATTTAAATGACTCAGCGACGCTGCTCACACACGCCTCTAATGGGAAAGACATCCAACGAATGAAGCATGCAAACCAACAAACGAAATATATGTTGGCCTTGGCCTGAAGAATGATTGTCGTGGTGAACTAGATAGAGGACATATTTCTCGTTCGATTTTGTATCTATTTCGGGTACAGAAAATGTACAGGTAGAGAAGAGCAATAAGAGATCAAGAGAAATGTGAAGAGATCAATACATAGGAGTACAGGACTACATTTGTTACTAAATACGTATGCTATTTTCTTTCTTTTTCTGTTCGTTTATCCTGTCAATATATAGAAGTAAGAGACATCAAAGGAAAAGAATATATTCACAAACGGAGAAGAAATGACAGAAAAGAAAAGAAGGGCGCTACTTTCAATGTAAACTAGTTTTTTATTAATTTCTCAAAAACTAAGAGTTGTCCAGGAAAGGGGGTAGTATATTCGAGATCCTTGTAAAATTCTGAATCGAATGATGTATGCTATTTTCTTGTAAACCACCCCACAAAAATCGACTCGATTTGCTATGAAATGAGGGTGAAGATACGATCGTGAAGAAACAGCATCGCCCTCAGCAGAACTGATAAATAATTACCAAACATTCGGATAAATAAGTGTGCCAAGTCCGAAAACACGCCTGTGGTGTACAGCTCGACTTGCTCTATCGCCTAGTGTTTTATTTAAATCTAACCATGGAGATTCAAGTTCGAGTACTAGCATAGAACGCGGCCTTAGATGTCTCAAGCAATCAATTGTACTAGACTTTTAACTCTTACTGTTTGTGCACCGTGGAAATAGTTCTCTCTAGTACAGTTGAATGAGCTATGTCAGTTGGTGCAACTCAAAAGAAAAAGGAGAAAAACATATTATAGACCATAACAAACTATTAGCATGGTATCAACATTTTTCCGTATGAAACTTTTCCATGATGCTCAGAAAGAGGGTGAAGGTTTGAGGAAGGTCTTTTTTTTACTCATCCACCCTGAAGCTGAATTGGATGATGTCAAATAAAACTGGGAGTTAATGTAATGTTGGTCATTACAATATCGAACGTTAATAAAATATTTATCAAAAAAATAATAAAGAAAATCTTAGATATTATTCAGAGAAAGCAAGACACGCAAAGAATTATTTTTTTTTATTGATCAATGAAACAATAACTAAGACTAAAATATTTTTCAATACAATACAACATCAAATTTAAATGTTTATTAGTTTTGAATTTTGTTTTATTGTACTTTTTTATTTGCCATGTACATACAAAACTAAAAATAGAAAGAAAATAACACTGAATTAATTAACATTTAATTGTTTCTTTTTTAAATTTCTTACTTCATCAAATAGAATATAACCACCATCATTTGAATCAATAGCATCAAATTCTTGTTTTAAACTATCTTCATCTGAATCATCTTCACCTAATAATTGAAAACCTTTTTTAAATTCATTAAAACCAATACGATGATCATCATTTATATCTAATTCTTCAAATATTTTGCTTATTTCATCATATTGTTTGAGTAATTGAACAATTTTTTCAAATTCTCTTAATTCAACAAAACCATTCTAAGAAAAGGAAAAAAATGAAAATTGATCTAATAAATTTTATTTTTGTTTTTCTTATCATACACCACTAGTATCAGCTGCTTTATATGCTCGTACAATTGCTTTTTTATTAGTACCAAATTGTGGATAAAAATGAATAATAGCTCGATCAATTTCAGCTAACGATAAACGACCATTACCATTATCAAATTGTTTGAATAACTGAAGAGATAATTTTGCTTTTAAAGAAAATAATAAAAATAGAATATTCTACTAACTTGTTTTATTTCTTCTTTACTCATATTGTTAAATTCTTTTTGCTTACACAGAAAATAAAACGTCTGATCGGAGTTGTAATAAATACTAAAAGAAACACGAACGTTTCCGACAACTTTATAAAGAAAGAAGAAAATTCTCCTAGGTAACCTTCGATAATTAACAGAATATAATTCCATTTCAGTTCTTTTTTTCCTTTTTTTTTGCTCGATAAATTAATACAAGAAAAAGAATAACGTTTTCTTTCTTCTGACGAGAATATTGAAGCTAATTTATAAGTCAGCATTTTTTCAAAATGTGTTTCTTTTTATTCTTTTGAAACACAAGGAATTGTAACATAAAGTGTTTTGCAATGAAAAAGTAACAATGTTTTCATGAGTAAATGACGAAACAGAAAATACTCATCTACATTATTTTCATAGGTTTAGCTGTTTGTTGATTTGATTTTTGAAAAAGATAGATAAGATCTAATAGGATTATAACAAATAAAGTTACAGACTGAAAAACTTACTTGGAAATAGATGCCATGCCACAAATAGATTGAGTTCTTTTTATATTGTTCATTGGTTTTACTATAAATATTTGCCAGATTAAAATGAACATCGGCCATTGGTATTGATTCATTAGTCTTATGAAGGAAGGCTACCAAAATAATACATAATCGACGATGCTGATTTCGGATATCAATAGAATTTTTGCCGCTAGACTTTCAACGATCCAGTTTTCTATAGTGGAAAATGTTTTTGGTCTGTTCAGGTTATAAAGCACCCCGTTTTGAGTTTAAAAAACTATTCTTTCAAAATTTGAACCATCAAAGAGCAAGGTAGAAGAGTAAAAACTTTTGATCCTTATCATCCCTCTCACCTTTTCTTTTCAACATTTATATTGTATATATTTTAGTACTAGCTTTATCTCACATGTTACTCAATTCATTTTCAGCTTTCCCATTCCACTTTTGATCGATTTCAAGTCATATTATTATAACCTATCCTGTCATTCTTCCGATAAAATCAGCTTTTGATTACCAAGAAAGGAATTATTTTGCATTTATTTTAGTAGTGATTATTTGCTTGCTATTTCGCTTCGTACGAAACTTTACCGACCATGAATCTTGTCAATATTGTAAGCAGCTCGCCGTATTTAATTATTGCTAACCAAAATTTAGATAACATTCCACCTGTGTCATTCAAAAAGAATTTGGATGTGGAAAGTTGATAGGAAAGAGACCTTTCCTTTATCCACACCCTCAGAACTGGCTCGTGTCAAAATTCATAAAACATTTGTCTTTATCACATACGTGAAAATCAAGAAAAATCTGAGATCTTTGCTTGAGCACACTCGATCGTGGCTGATGTGGACAAGTCTTGCACGGGGTCCCAGAATTCTGAGACAGCCAAGATTGAGGGACGCAAAATTTTTTTCGCGTCAGATCTGATATTAATCTTTCTCTTGCTACATAGAATGTAACATTTTTTCGTGAAGTGAGAACTTTTTGTAATCTTATTAAAAAATTTGACGTTTTCTGGCAAATATTCAAGAAGAGAAGTTGTGTCGAATATGAGAAAATTTCTCAACATTTTCGTCGTCAAAAGCGACCACTCTCATGAAAATTGTTTTAAATTAAATTGTTTCAAAGGAAAAGTTGATTAAAGTAGAACGTTCTTTTAAATTAACTGCAGTTACACAAGTGTTATTGTTCGCGAAACGAAAACTTTTTCAGACTTATGAAAAAGTCTTCTTTTCCTTATGTTGTTAGATAGGGTGTGGGTGTGAGTGTGGGTGTAGTGTAGCCAGTGGATGCTATATAAACAAACTAATCTCCACACCCACACCTTCTGCAAAAAAATCTAGAAAAAATTTTTAAATGCTTTCTCAAGAATCAAACCTCCAGTTTGATACGTAGATTATTTCTAAAAATTAAGCTAAAGTATTTTCTTTTCACCACGTGATATGACTAAATACGACTGACTGATTACTTCTTTCTTAAGAAAATATATCAATAATATGACCAACATGTCTCCCTTTATCATTTCCGCTAGCGTCGATCTATCATCTTTGCTGCTACTGTGTATGATGTCATTCATGTATAAGTTATTCTCGACTTGTTTCCTAATATTCATAAAACCTTTTAGCGGCTTTGCAAAGTAGTTTTGGCCAAGCTCTTTAAAAAATGAATTTCGAACACAGTCCGGTATCTATTGCTAGTTGATCCTCACCGATTTCGTTGGTTTTTGAAGATGTTGTAGAAGGGATGCTCCTCATCAACTGCTGCAATTTTTGGCCTCCTATCTTAAAAGGTCAAAGCATTGACGTCATATCAATGTGAGAGTGTAGTAAAGGTAATTTTTCACAGATTTGATGATTTTTTTTTATACGTCTTAAAATTATTTTAACTTCGGACTTATGTAAGAAATGGTAGCACTTTAGTATGCTTCTCAGAAAAAAAATCTCAGAGTTTTTCATTAAGAGAGTCTGAAGAAATCATAACTTGTTCTGAAGGTTGAGTAAAAGCTAGATTCAAACTCTGGGAGTTGTCTCAACACATACAGAATCTGAAGTTCATATGACTAATGTAACTCAATATTCTCTAACTAACGAAAAAAGATTGGCAATAGTGTTTTTTTTTCTTGAAAAAGTTCACTTTTGGTCGACATAATTGTTGCGGATTAATTCGTGGCAGTAATCCGATATTACCTTAAAAATACAATTGTGATCAAGCTTTGTTTCATCATATTTATATTCAGCGTGAAATTCTACGTCGATTAGTATCTATTTCATGGAAAAAAATAATAGTTGAATTGCCAAATGTTTAAAGTAGGCCTTTCTAAATTTTGGTCTTTGGCAAAAGAATTCTGAAAAATTAAAATAAAGTATTTCGATCGAAAATCTTGTCCACAGATAGATATTATGATTGTTAGAATACTCTAAAAGTTCCAACTAGAACGAACGCTCATGTTTTGAGATATCGGATTTTGAAAAATAATCATTTTTGACAAAAAAATAATATAAAAACGCAGTTTACTTCAAAATTCAATATCTCAAGACAGGAAGATTTGTTCTAGCCTAAATTTTCAGAATATTCTAAAGATTATTACACAGAGTTACAAGTCCTTTACTCACGTTGGTGCTGATTACTTACTTTTAAAGTTTTTAAGGATCTCTTTTTTTCCGAATATCTTTATATTCATTTTTACATTTTATTCAAACAGAATTAATTAACATAATTAAGAAGGGTTGATTTATTTTCTGAAAATATCTCGATAGTATTTATATTATTTTATACGTGATTGTATAGTCTTTTGCTGTATTTGATATTGCCACACACAAACTAAGGGAAGTGCGAATAGTTCGCCTAGTGTAGCAATCATTGCACCAAAATTAAAGTCTACTGTTATAAGACCATACAAACGTCCTAATCCACCGATAAATACAAGTAATGTAACACGACGTAAATCACTACCATCTCGATCAATAGTTGGCAAGCTACGTAATAGAAGCATTCCCATCGCAAGCGGTAAACCGGATAAATAACGAAATTGACTATCCAC